GCCTTGCCTTTCTTTTATGGTGACATTTTACATGTTACCAATGTTGCGGACGATGACTGGTGGACAGCACGGCTGGTTACGGAAAGCGGTGAAGAAGGTATGGAAGGAATTATTCCATCCAAAAAAAGAGTTGAAAAGAAAGAACGACAACGGAGAAAACAGGTAAAGCGTAGTTAGTCTTTACATGAAATTCTTTTACTGATACTTGTATATGCATATATTTATGGACGAGTTTTAAAAAATTTAGTTTTCTTCGGGTCATTGATTTTAGGTGTATTTATTGTAAAGTAATTTCTTTGCATAATTGTTGATTGTTTTATAAAGATAATCAGAATTTAGGGTGTTAGATTCTAAGTTGTTATTGAATTATGTTTTCAATGCATCAGGATGAGTTAGTTCTTTATTCTATCAATTTTCCTATGGCCTTTATTTCCCGAAATTAACTTTAATATTAGAAATTACACATGAAAATTTCTATAAATATATTACACCTAAAACCCTTCAACGGTTTTTCAGGTGAATTTTAACGCTGGTAGTCAAAGTCTTCCTCGAGGTATGGATGGTCGTCGTGGTTCACGTTCACAGCTGTCATTCTCGCGCAAATTTCCTTTCGTTAAAAGTACCGATAAACTTAACGAATTTACTGATAATGAGCGTAAGTTCATTACAATTTCTAGCTTAACTGATTTATTTTTCTTAACACTTTCAAATGTGAGAACGCAAAGCTTCTCTTATTATTATTGCCATTTCCTACGAAATATGACGTAATGGATAAAGAGACATAGTTGCAAGATCAAGATAAGCGAAGAAAAAACTTTAAATTTAGTTTTACATAGCTGGGATAACAAAAATTAGTAATAAATAAAGGCAATTCTTTTATGGAGTCTTGCAAATTCTGTGCATATACTATTTCCTTCGGCATTTTCACAGGTCATCATGGTTCCAGAAGCTTCCGGAACCTTATGAGTATTGTTTCATAATATAAAATAGGTAGAAAGGTTTCGGATATGAATGATAACTTTTGCTTCCGTTTACTATAAGATTTCCTTAGATGGTACAACTTATACATCATACACTACAAGCGATAGTGATTACTGTAAGTTTTCATAGTCTGCTTTGTGTGCAGTGTCTGCTTTATCTGTCACATTATTAACAAGAGTTACTAACTAAGAGAAAAATGTGAAGAATTGGAAATCTAATACACATGAATTACTTAATACAATCACTTTGTGTTTTTTTGTGCTCTTTATTTGTGGAAGTAACTGCAATTATAACTTTTTTTAAATCGAGTTGTAAAACATATGCTGTTTATTTAATATCTGGAAGATAACAATGTTTGATTCACAATCATTGAACAAAGAATTATTTTGATACCAGATTATAAAGTAGTAATTGTTTTTTAAAACAGTTATTTTAATATTTAGTTGGTCCAACTGAAGATCCGATAATGTCATATGTCGCAGTGGAACGTCAACAAAGTAACCATTACGCTTAGTTTTATTATTTACATTCTATTTCTTCCACTAATAAATGAATATTCGCTAGCGTAGCTAAAACTTTCGTTGTTTTGCTCTAATTGAAAATTTTACTGTTGTAAATATATATATGTTTATATTATATCTTAGATAATTGATTATATTCAACTTGAGTTTCCCTTGTTTCAGTAAATTACCCACGTCCGGTTATTATTCTTGGAGCAATGAAAGATCGCATCAATGATGAATTGGTACTCCGTGATCGAGATCGTTTTAGCAGTTGCGTCCCACGTATGTTATTATTTTTCATCAAAAGCAATTTATTTGCTATTAGGTAGCTATCAAATCGTTTTACCTTAATTTTTAAAAACTGAAATATTGCAGATACTAGCCGACCTCCGAAACCGAACGAAATAGACGGTCGTGATTATCATTTTGTTTCAAAGGAACAAATGCAGGAAGATGTTCGAAACAATCAATTTATCGAAGCAGGACAATTTCAAGATAATCTTTATGGCACGAGCATTAATTCTGTTCGTGAAGTTGCAGAAATGGTATGCGAGCTTTGAAAGAATCTTTAAGTGACCATATGCTATACCATTTTGTACTCGTGAAATGATTTTTAGTTCCTTGTGAGTGCAAAAGAAATGGCCAAAATTGAACTTCTGATTACAATTAGCACTGAATATCTAATTTAATTATGTCATATTTCTATAGTTAGGAACTAATTTTATGGTGATTATTATAGGGTCGACATTGTATTCTCGATGTGAGTGGAAATGCTATCCGTAGATTACAATCTATTGCTAATATATACCCAATAGCAGTTTTCGTGAAACCGCAGACACCGCATCAAATTATGTAAGTAATTTACCTAACCTTAACACCTCAGACAATCATTCAGCGATGAAGTCATCCATTAAAGCTTTCTGTTTTATCCTCCGTTGGCGAAGCACTACTGAAATTTTTGGATAACAAGCCGTAGTTACAGAATGCTTAGAATTTCTTATAGGGAATGGGATCATTCGATAAATGAAGATGATGCTCATACTATATATCAGCGCTGTCAGAGAACAGAACAAAACTTTGGAGATTTGTTTACTGGTGAATATTTATTTCTGTGTTATTTAAAATTCATCAGCCAATTATAGTTTTAGTTCCTTCTTTCATATTTCTTTACATGCAATAACTTCAGTCTTCCTCTTCCTCTCTAATAGTATATCACTCTTATTATAAAAATGATATTATTTTAGCTGTTGTAAGTGGTCAAACATTCGAAGATCTCATACGCCGTGTCTTGAACGTCATCGCGGAGCAATCACGTCCGCATGCTTGGGTACCATCTCGAGCACAAGTTTTTTAAACCTCATTTTGCTTGGTTAAAATAAACAAAGAAGACAACCATTTTTTTTTTTATAAAGAGAAACTTTTGAAAAGTCTCTTTTTTGAAGTTTTCTGTTTAACAAAAAAATTTATTCAGTCCTATATTAAAACATTAGTTCACCCGATTTTATAGTAACTAATTTTTTAAAGGTTTCCTTGAAAAGCTTTTCTTTCCTTGCTTTGCAAACCTCATTGTACACATATCCGATATGCAGCTGCTTTGCTTATTCTCTTATTCTATGAAATTGAGATAAAAATATTTTATCCAAATTTGGTGAAATAATCGAACTACTCTAGTGACAAAGTAATTGAACGTGAGCATAATTTCTTTGCTAACAAACCTTAAACTAAGTCATTTTGTTTTAAAATTTCAAAAATAATCAAAATATTTCTTGAGTTTCATTTGTCTGAAGAAAGGGAATAGGTAAAATCTTACGTTAGTTTGATCATTTAACCAAGTTCATGTTTACGATAAAAAATTTATGTTTTGTGTTACTCTGTTTTTCTGTTTTTTTTTTTTTTTTTAATTTTAATTTTGATTAATTGATATAATGCCGTTTTCCATCTAACGCAGCTATTACATTAGTCTTTATTTTGTCTCAATATGTCAATTCCTTATTTTCTTTTCGTTATAATTTGATATATGAACAGTACAAAGGCCGAGAATTTTCAAGAATAATTTCTTGAGATTTTCAAAGATTTTCGAATAGCAAATAACTAGTTTTTTGAATTACTTAGATAAAAGAAAGGTATGTTACTATGTGGAAAATTCTACCATTAAACTGTAGAATTTCTCTTCTTTTTTGTTCATTTGGACAAATTGGTGTTTTTCTGGAGAGTATCACATCTGTAAAGCCAGATTGTACAGAATTTGGTCCATCATGAGATTCTGTTTTGCGTCAGATTGTTGGAAACTTCAGTATTTCAAAAAAATTTGAGTTGGAGAAATGAAGCATATCCATTGTTCTATCTCATGCACTGACTTTTTAATAATTGTTTTATCCATTCTCACTCATTGCACTTACATTAAAGGTTGTGATTCTATCAATTTGTTATTTTTTTTTTTTTTTTTTTCTTAAATTGTATTTACGGGGGAATACGGTTCATATTCGTCGTAATCCTTTAGCGAACACTTTTTTTACGATAAAAAATTAGCTTAATTCGCTTCAGTAATTTCTTGGTTGCTTCTTTTTGTAAATACTGATAATGCAAGAAGAGAAACGTCTCTTATTCTCAAGATGAACATTTGTAAGATGAGACAAAGATGCTTTTGTAGTAGCATAAGGATCAGGAAGATCAATCAAGTTTGCAATATTGTTATTCAGTTGCACATTCATCACAGTGGACCGTATTTTCATTTAATTTTCTTTCTTCTTTTAACATAAAGAAAAACAGGAAAAGCTCATTTGTCGCATGCTACCTTCCCTTATATTTGTTAGCCTTTTCTATCATTTGTTCGAAATTTTGATTGATTTTGTCCGCGCACCTTTCTTTCACTCCTTTTTCAAAATGTGCCAATTTCTCTCTTTTCATCTAAATGTCAATTGCTGCTGTACTATGTTCGAGATCTACTATAAACACGTGGTGTTATAAAATTTGAAGAATTTTTACAAAGAAGGAAACAAACAGAGATAGATCATTGGGAGATGATGTATGGAGGTGGTGTAATTTGATGAAATCACGAAGGTGAATATTTAATGGGCAATACATGACACATCATATAAAGCTGTATCCTTTCATATTATGGTGTAAGATGACCAAGATATCTCAGTGCAACTGGTATTTTCGATGATTGTTAGTTTTAGCGGGTCATTCATCATTCATATATAGAAATTATTTTTTGAGTGTACTGCATATATACTATTACGTTTCAAGAGCCACGTATTCCACGTGTTCCCTTTGCATACATTAAATAGATGACGGTGAGGAAAACGACATCTGACATTTTTATCTTAATTGCAGAATGTTAGAAGTACTAGCAATCTGTAGTTTATTCTCATAACATGAAAGAGTATATGTATGAAAAACGAAATGATATTTAAAATTGTAGTCATAAACTGTTTAACCTGAACAAGTTAAAATCATCCTATCAATCATAATTATAATAACGAGAAGATAAGGGATGACTGCAACAAGAATTATTCATAATGGCTGCAAACAAATATCATTGACACTATCCGATTCCAGTTCGAATGAAAAATCGGATGGTTCATGATTTACCTGTTGCCATGGATCAGGCCAACGGCTTACAAGAATTTGGTTGATAAATAATGGTGGTGCTTCTACCTAAAAAATGGCACACAAAATAAAAATAATGGAATAAATATATTCTATTTTAATCATTAGAACTTTAAGTGACTTAATTGAGGATTCCAAATTAAAATTTACTTAGAAATATAAAGTAAATTTCAGCCTTCTTTATTTTATGCCAAATAAAGAAAAATGAAATTTGAGCTAAAATAGTCGTAATTAATTACCGCAGTTTCGGATTGCGTAAGTGGTGCTGCTAACTTCTTTGATATCGATTTTGCCCTAGGTAATACAATCGGGAATGGTGTAGGTGATGGTACTTGCGTGGATTGCTTAGGGGATTTCAAAGTACTTTCAGCTGATCTTACAGCCGCTTCGATACTAGCTGCAATTTGAGATACCTTCGCCTTTCTTGCTGAATCTGTCGCAATCATCTTCGATTGCATTTTGTGCTGAAATATTAATTGAATATTTTTAAAGCACAAACAAGTGTTTTTCAATTCCGATTATAATTACTGCCGAAATTAAAAGCAATAAATTGTCGATGTTGAACAATATATATACACATATATAAGGAAAATCTGAAGAGAGGTCCTGCTCAATATGAATTCGTATTTCCTTAAGCTACAATAAATGAAGAAGGCCTTGTTTAATCCCTTATCAACCTTTCAATCACTGTCACATATCAATTCCGGAAACTATCAGATATACTTGCCCGTCTCTTTTCTTGTTCAACCTGTTTTCGTTCTATTTTCCCTCCTTGTCGTTTGAGTACACAATACAATAGAAGAAATATAGAAATAATAAGAAAGATGACGAGAACAACCAAAACAATAGTTAATGCTAATATAACTTCCGGTTTTCCCGTCGGTGCTACAGTGGAAGTTATTGGTATGGGCATTTTAACCATACCTTGTAGTATCATATTTCCTGTAACTATTCATTTAATTCTTTCTTAATATGCATCTATTATAATTCCTGATATGTATACAGGTGTATGACCCATGTGTGATTTCCAATGTTCCTAGTCACAATTTATTTTTCATCATTTGGCATTAAAGTATAGGAATTCTGGAAACTTTTATTTTGGTAAATCGCTTTCAGATGATGAATGATATTTTTGGAGCACTTTTTAAGAAATGGAAAACGCTTTTAGATAGGTAGTGACAATTTCCAATAAAATCATTAAAATATTATCTTGCATTTTATATTTTGTTAAACAAAAAACTGCAAGTGAAATAAAGTTGTTCATATATTTCCTCCAAACGAGTCATTAACAATGTATTAGTACGTGAAAATGTTGTCATCAACAGCATGCAATTTGCAAATTCAGAAAGAAATGCGAAATACCTCCAATAGCATCATCGTCCTCACCCAGGTATAAAGAATTTGCTTCATCTGAGTTATTGAAGACATCATACATTCTACCAATTTAAAATACTACGTAGTGCGTTGTAACCAACCGATCACTTATATTTCTATAGCTAACAATATTTCGATAGCTAATCTCATATTAAGAAAATTAATTACAATTGTTTAGTTAATAAATGATGCATGAAATCGTTATGTAGAAAGAATATTTATGAAAAAAAAAAAAAAAAAGTCAAAAATTAAACGTAAAATTCGATTTCTTGACAAGGTAATAATATTTTGATAAAATACTGCAAGGTTTTGGGAGATATTACAAGTCTTTAAACAGTAATAGTAATACAGTAAATGTCTTTCCTTTTTTTCATATATTTTTATATAATTCAATTAGTAATTGATTTTGCTTAGTTAAAGTCACCATTTTAAATTAGTACAAATTAGCCTATTATGAAGGATAACAAATTTTTTATATATTTGTATATATATATAAATTTATTTTTCCTATAAATTTCGCTTGAAGTATTTTCCGATTCTTTAAACTTTATTTCCACATAATTAGCTTTAACTTGCTGCCCATTATGTTTTCGTTTTGATTTACTTATTGTTTCCATTACTTATGTTATTTTTATAATTTATGTATTTGCTATACAAATTATGTATAAACAATGGATGTTTCATAATTTACATATATTTTACATGTTCTTAGAGAGTTCATATTATCTATACTACTATTTTTATAACTTTAATATATGATTATTAGTACAATCGATTACAGTCATACTCGTTTTCTGATTCCTTATTTTACAGTTTTGCATAATTAGCTTTAACTTGTTGCTAATTATGTTTTATTGGCTTATAAGGGTTATCATTGATTTATTTCTTTGTTTATTAATTGAGCAATTTTGTAAATAAAAAATATGGTGTAAATATTCAATTACTTATAGTTACTGCAGCTAATTTCTTTTACTTTTTGCTGAATTATCATTGTAACTTAACTGAGAGCCATTTTTGTTTTATTATCCAATTATTTAGATTTGGTTGATGTCTGAGTATAAACGCATTTCAAACTATTCTTATCGCTTCTAATTGCATGAAGTGCAAAATATTTTACTAGCAATTATTTTAATGAACTACTAAAATTTTATTTCTTTCATGTATGGTTTGTTTAATTTCGTTTTCAACTATGTATAATTAAAATCACTTTAGTTTACAGTGATATAAAATCAATAACAATGTTTTCATTAATTGTATTAAAAATTCGAAAAAATTTTTCAAATGATTATATTTGTTTTACCTTTCCACCACTTTTTTATTAAGTTCTTTATTTTACAGAGACTATCGCTCTTCATCATTTGAAGAAACTATCATTTTTAAATTTTAGCCTTTGCTTAGAGGGCTCATTACCCATTTGCGCAATGACACATTTGTATTTGCTTATTAAAAACTATCATGGCTACTTCTCAGTTTTTTGGCTAACAACATGCCTGATGGCTCGATTTAACTTTCTTCATTTTCGATTCTTTAACATTTTGTGGGAATGGTAAATGCTAATTTCTATAAAAATTATAATTTTCAGCTTTTCTCATTATCAATCATTATGGTCTGATATGTCCAGCTATAGTTATCTGTTCTTTTCCACTGCTTTTATTCTGTAATTAGTGTCAATTATGGAATGAATTATGATTTTTTCACTTAGTGATTGTTCACTTTAATCTTCCGATCTGTTTCAGTTTGATTTGAAATCTCTGATCTCTAAATTAGCTGTTCTTTGTTTAGTGAAATATATTTTGATATTGGTATTTTGATATTTGGCTTTTGCTAAGATATGAAAAACTTATTTATCAGTAAGTAATTTCTCACTTTTTATTCTTTTTTTTTTTACTTTTCGTTCTCTTCTTTTAGTATGTGTTTTCTATGTTTTTATTTTCTTCAGTGTTTTTTAATAGCTATCCAATACATTAAGAGATCATTTGAATAAACGGTCTGATAAGCAAAAGAAATGTATTTTATCCGAAAGTCAATTTTGTAGTCAAATAGAAATGCAAATGCAATAGATGCAAGAATTTAATTTATCTGATTTAAAAGTTGTTAAAGGCAAAGACGTCATACATATGAAGTATCTCGTACGGTAATTGAAAAAATGTCATAATGAACTTAATTGTTAGAAGCGAAACTCATTAACTTTCACTTGAAAACAACTACAAAGAGGATTGTTTTCTGCTTATATATTTCACTTAATCTTTTAATGAAAGTAATTTTGCTAAAAAATAATTATTCTCTTTTTACATGTCAGTAATAACACTTTGATCCTTTTCTCTAAGATTTTATTTTTACTGGAAGTTATTGTTTCAAAGCTTCATAACATGATACTTTGTAGGTTTCAGCAAAAATTGATTTCATAAGAGAAAAGTTACTTTCACTAAAAAATACATTCAATCATTTCCATTCTGATATTTTATATTTCAACTAACTTTTATTCTTATCTCAAAATTTCGCCTTAGGTCTTTCTCTTTTTTAATCAAACCGAAATCGATTTTGCGTTTTCACTAAAAAAATTTTCGTCCCATAATAATAACAAATAAATTGTCAATGAAAAATTTCAGACAATTAAGTAACAGTGAAACAGATTAGATTTCATTTTCAAATTTGACAAAAAAGGAATGTCAAATAGCACAAAATTTGATACTAATACTGTTATCCACATATTCGCAATACCGGTATGATTTTAATTTTTTAACTCAACAGAAAGTGTATTTATTACTGTTCACTGCATTACTCTTTTAAATACTAAAATTTACCTTGACAACCTCATTAGTGTTTTTACATCGATCCAACTTTACTTTTACTTATTCTGTAATACTAATTTCAGCAAAAGACATTATTTTAAGCTCAAAATTTTTACTTTAGATAGCACTGCTCGGACTACTAGCATATGCAATATCGCTTTATCTAATTCATAAGTCGGAACGGTACCACAATGTATTTGGAATTTTATGTACTGCTTATGTCTCATTTCATATACAAACTGTCAGTGTCTTATTCATTTGGACAATTGTCAGAATTATTGTGTAAGGCCATTAGTGCATTCTTGTTTATTCACCAAACAAAAACGAAGAGCTAATTTGTCATGCATAACATTGCTTACATTTTTTAAAGTTAACAAATATTTTTCAGTAAGTTTTCTATTAAAAATTATTATTTCCCATTGGATACTCATCAATCACAACTGATAAACTTGAAAGTAAATTTGTCTAATGGCTTGCTAAATATTGGCTTTCTTTTCGCTTATGATATTTTTTTTCTTCCTTCTCCAACTTTAGATGTTTCTTTAGTTCCATCTTGTGATTACATAATAAGTTACAGACACACAGGACTAAAGCCATTCCCATGGACGACTTTCATTCGAATATTTTCTCCTATTGCAAATTCAACGTTGTACGCAGCCATTTGGATTCAATTCGTTTTGGCCATTAATCGACTTTGGGCCATTTCATATCCAATGACATACCATCGCATCTTTAGTCGAAAAAATGCTCGATTGGCAGTGGTATTCCTTTGGTCATTCAGTATGCTAATCATGGTGCTTTATTACAACGGTAACTCTTTATAGCATTTCTTTTTTATAATAAAAGGTGTTTGTGACATTTTGGTTTTATAATACAGTTGCAAGACAGATTTAACAAAAAAAAAAACAGTGTAATCATTCTTTCTTTACTTATTTTGCTATACTCTTATCTGATAGTATTATCCTTATCACTGTTATCGCTAAAATTTCTTAATTAATAGTTGAATGCGTCCGTTACTTCGAATCAGATATTTATTCATGGTCAACGCTATACGGACCATGTAATCACTCTTTCTTCATTTATTTTTCTATACTCTTATCTGATGGTATCATCCTTATCACTGTTATGGTCGATGCAATTGCTTTTTATCGCATGGTTGCTTATATAAAAGTATGTTTCAGTGTTTACAACATAATAGCTGTCCATGCACTTTTCATCAAAAAATCAGAAAGTTCAAGTCATTTGGAAAATAAATCACTACGATTTATTTTGGAGTTCCCAAAATCCATAAAATCATAAATGATTTAATAATTCTGTTGTATTTCTCGTTCAGTGGAAGACTTTATCAGTATGAACATTATTACTTAATTGTAGAAAAAAAAACATCAGGAAGTTAATGCAACGCGAGGAAGCTTGAGCCACGACATTCTTTTTTTCAAAGAGGTAGAAAATTAAATTGAATTCTTAATTATATTAACTGTGAACTTATAATTTTCGATATAATTTGTTGCGGAAAGCATCAGAGTCATTGGAAATAGTAAAATATTGGACAAAACTTAGGTTTTATTCCATGTTAAGCTTTAAAATTGTTTGATCGATACTGCTGGATAACAAAATTATGTTATAATTTTTTGTTATTTTAACAGAAAATATTTCAGACTTGTATCACTACTGGCATACATGCATTTCTTATAGCGATTTTCCGTATTGATGGACCTTTTATAGCACGTGTGACTAAAGTAACATATATGTGGCTTGCAATGAGTACATTAGATAGGTAATAGTTATTTATTACTTTAAGATTTCAATATAACTTGTAAAGTTAGGCGGAAATAACAAGTTTCATGATTTCATTTATTAAATTTTACGTCTTTCGTTCTCACCAAACTTTTTGATGCATTGTTGAATTGCTCACAAATCTTATTAATCAAGTATTAACTATTCCGAATGCAAAGGAATTTTCCAGAAATAAAAAAAGAAATACTCTTTCATAATTTTTTTTCAACAAAATTTTGATTTCAGTTTCACATTCATATTCTTCAATCGCAATTTGTTGATGAATCGAAACGTAGTGAATGTATTTACAACTGCAAATAACTTAGTAAATATCGTTTCTACGAAGAAAACGATTAACTGACCAATATTAATAATATAATTTACTTCCCCTGAAATAAGGTTGTTGTGGTATGTTTTATAGTTCCTATTATTCATTATTACTCTGTCTAATATGCTTCTACTGATAGAATCACTTGAAAGATGTTGACAAGATTGATAATGCTAAGATGCAGAAATATGTTTATTAATACACTCGTTAATTAGATATCAAATCAAATATTTATTTCAATTACCTGACTTTTATTATTTTCAAATGAATTTCATAGAATAAACAAATTTGAGCAAAGTAATAAAACCATTAAGGATTTGTAGAAACGCAATTGTTAAGAAGCTAATTAGTAAGTCTCCTCTGATCAAAACGTTTGAAAAGTTGAAATTTTCTACAACTGAAGCGATGAAAGCAACTGCTAATTTCTGATCAACTGATTTCTCAAATAAGCATATTATCGCTTTTATTCTCTCTTATGCAATATCAGATGGATTCAAGAGTAAACCATATGTGGTAGTGGCAATAAACTATCCTTAATGTGCTAGGTTAAAGTTGTTGAATTATATCACTCCAAAATTGGTTCATTCTCCGATGGTTTCGATTCAGATCGAATTGGCTTTACCGATGCATAATACTGTATCGATCAGTGGCCACTGGCTATCATTGAACACTATCAGCAGAGTGTTGATTTGATACTAAAAAGGCGAAAGAATTTCTATAAAAAAAAATAAAACTAAAACGAATACATTCAAACAATAAAAACTGCAAAAAAAAAAAAAGAAAAAAAAGAAAAAAAAAACGGAACGAACAAAAATTATGCTAAGAAATGAAGTAATAAATTAGTGAATATGCATTTAATAGCAAACTCAGTTTGGAAGGGAATTGTAGAATCAGCCTGAAATACATACTGGTAAATGATAACAAGTCAAAAAACTTTATGCCAATTATAATTAAAACAAAGAAGCACAATGAAAAATTAATAAAATTCAAAAATTTTTAGCAAATAATTTTTACCAACTAATCTATTTATTTTTCTTCTGCATTGTACACTCACAAATAAGCGATTGAAAGCACAGCCTTTTGCTTACACATTTCTATTAATCGTTTTCAGAAATTATTTTCACCATCAAAATTATTTTGTATTCAACGGGAATTTCTTACATTTTCATAAGCTTTTCAGGCAACTTTTTAAGCATAGAAATTTTCCAGAAGAAAATCTTTGAAAAAAAAAGACTGAAATTTTCAATTAAAAGTAAAAAAATTTGGGAAAAATATTACATTGCATTAAAATAGGAATACAGAAATTCAGGTAGAAAATCATTAATACTCTTGCCGATTGCTAATAAATGCTCAATGGAAATCGAAACAATCTTCATCAAATTTAAATCATACCGAAAAAATATAATACAAAATATAATACGCATTAAATACTAGATGTGACGGATCGCTAGTTTAAGAAGGACAACAGAGCCAATACAATTTGTTCCAGTAATCTGCCAATATGACTTAAACGATCAGAATTAATAAAAATTCTAATTGTGCAAACTTATGTAGATTTCATCAGTGGAGAAAATGGTAAAATAACATAAATATTTATTTAAAGGAAAATATGCATAAATGACAAAACTGATCAAGATGAATTAAAATTTTTTACTTATCTTTTGATGCAGTAATTTGAAATCACTCGAAATAAATTTCAGAATTTTATTCAAATATTTCTCAAACGATAATATGTAAGAAGTGGTATTTCTCGTGTTTTAATTAGATGTATTTATTTGTGTAATTAGACATATCAGTTATATAGTAAGGTCTTCTTATAACAGCTTCTGTAATTTGAAAGAAATTTTTATTTTTATTTAATGATATTTTTCATTCATCTCTTTTCCATTTGGAACCAATATGGAATCTTTGCTTTCGCGTTTCATATTGCTCAAAATCCCTTTCCGAGTTGGACTACAATTTTTTTAAATATTTTTTTGTTTATTCAAATTCTTCACATAGTTTAAATGTTATGGAAGGGAAATGACACAAGTATAAAAATAAAAAAAAAAGAAACTATGACTTATATTTTTATTAACAATTTCATCCAATTAGTATTCCTTCTAATTACCCATCTAATTACTGCATTGTGTAGCAAAAAACAAGTCAAAACTTTTGGTTTGAACTTAAGAAATTATTTTATATCTAAAAATACTTTTTTTTTATATTTGAAAATTAGCAGTTTCTCCTATACTGTTTTCCACTCTTTTTTTACTCTGTTAGTTACATTTAAATTACGAAAAACTACCATATTTAAAATCTTGTGCGAGCCTACTTCAAAATATCGTCCATTCACTTCATTGATGGTATCCTCAGGCAAATCACAATGTACTTCGTCATTAGCATTCTCTGACTCTAAAGAATCTCATCAGATCTATTCATTGGCGATGGATCATAAAATCTGCTTCACTTTGCTGCTTCACTACTTAAAATCAAAAATTTCAGATTACCTTCCCATTAGTCAGATTCCAAGTAAATTATCCTAAATAATCAATAAAACACAATTAACAGACTTACAGTTATATTATGCAAATTAGTTTAGCATTTATTAACAGTGTTGAACTTAATTCAGATTGTATCATATCGATTGATGCTACACACCAAATAAAGAATTAAAATTGAGAATGAACTTTGCAAAAGTTTAACATCTCCGATAGTATTGTCCTCTGCCATCTGTTTCATTCTCAAAGTACGATACTGCATATAGTTCGATTTCATTCTGAGATATAGCCCATTTAAATAAGTCTAAAATTTGCTTTTTTGCCAGATACTTACAAAAAAATTTATTCTCTTTTTACAGCACTTTTTTATAGTACTTTTTGAGAAGTATGATAGATTTGATTAAATGATAATTCCTTTTTTCAACTGATATCAGTTAACAACCATCACAGTTCATGAAAAATACAGTAATGTTAACTAAAATAAGAAATTGTTGACTAAACAAAACTAACGATGTCATTGCTTATCATTGGATACATATTGCCGGAGACGAATTTCAGCTCTTTTAGTGCTTTCACTGAAGTAAACATCAAATGTGTAATTCGGGCCAAGCAACAACCTAATTCAACCGTAAGGTAACATTCATCATTATTCAATGTCCTGAGAAAAAATACGGTTAGATGATTAAGATTTAGAGAAAAAATTTAGGGTAGGATATTTCGAAATTAGCTTTGATTAAAAAAAAAAGACGATCTCAGAAAATTACTAAATCCTTACATTCGATCGTGGTCTGGAAATAATATACACTACATGTACAATTAAGCCACTGTAACTGATAAATATGAATTTAAATTAAAAAAAAAAAAAAAAACTCTTAGTCAATACTGTTGAGGATTTCAATGATATTCCCAATATTATGCAGGAATTCGTTTCACATAAACAATAACATCAAATTGAAATTGATTTTAAAGCCAGAAGAAAATTACAATCTTGCAGAATGTTCAGGTGAATCTTCTCCGTAGTAATCAAATCGATTGAAGTTTGTGAAAAGCGGCACGCAATGATGACGTGAGTGTTCCGCACACGGACGACAGACTGCATAACCATTGTGTTTCATACGATAACGTTGTGGAATCAGTTGATATTGCAATGGATTCTCCTGAAATTTGCGACTTCTTGCTTATGCTAAATCAAATTTTTTTATGGCTAATTTATGAATTAATTGCTCATATTTTTAAGCAATTTTATGAAATTTTTTCATAACTTTGTGGATTTTTTTCCTTTTTTAAAAGCTTGGCAAAGAATTATAATTTGAATTCATTAAAAAAAAATTGAATAAAGAATACAATATTATTTAGTATACAAATGTCAGATAAAAAGAATTTTAGGATTAATTTTAATTAGATCATACATATCGTTTAGGTTCTTGAAGAGCATGAAGACGCTCACTGAGCAAATGTTGTCGTTTCTGAAAGATCGGAAATTATTACCACCGTTTTTTTCTCTTTTTTGATCTTGGTAAATCTTGGTAAACAATAAATTATTCAGTAAATGTTATATGTAAAAGTATCAAAGGAAGAAATTTTCAAATTAGAATTCTTCAGTTACTTTTGTTATCATTTAAATCCACAAGTGAATAAATTAGATGTCACTATTTTATGAAAATTTGGAAGAAAGAAGAGAAAAAAATCGGAAAGACCAAATCTCTTTGAGTTTCACTTTCAATCTGTCGTAGCACACTAAAAAAATTATCGTTACATCTTTCCATTGCTGCATTTCCTTTTCTAGAATAAATAGCACATTTAACTTTGATTTTAAAACAAAAACATGGACAATTTAAAGTTACTCATGTTATATGTTTGTTTCGTTACACTGCTTGCTAATTATTTTACTTTTCACTGATAACTGAGTTTGTTAGTGAGCAGCAATTGGTCATTCTTGATGACAGGATAACAGAGACTAAGTAAAAATGAATTATCCGAGATTAGATTGAGTGAAAAGAATGAATCAAAAATGAATTATATGAATTATAAAAAAAAGTGCAGAATAAGTCTACTCGAGTATTCAACTTGCATCGGATATTTTAATTACATTAAGAAAGATAACTAGCTAACAATTGAAGAATTGAACCTTTTGTTTTAACTTTAATTTTTTTTTTGCAAATTCTAATTGTTTATTTTGTACTCTATAATTAAATTAGCGCAGCGCAACAGATGAGAAAAAAATTACTTTAAAGAACAACTGCAAGCAGTCATATTTTAATAAGTTTTTAGCACATTAAACGAAATGCGATTATCTAAGGTGTATTTAAACCGCTCATTTATGCAAATTAATTAATTAAAACCTCCTACACGGATAAATGCCTCAAACTTTTTAGCTAACTATCAAAATTTGAGTTTCTGAAAATGGAAGCTTTTTTTTCCTTTTTCTGTATAAATATAAAATTTTAACAAATTAGCATAGTTTTTTCTTTTGGGAGCCTAATTATTTGTTTTGTGTTGCAAGATTATTTTTTTGATGTTAACTTAATAGATTATCGATTGATTTCTTTGAAATTAAATAATTGAATGGAAATTATTGTTGTCAGTAAACAAGTGATTAGTAATCAAAATCTTCTCCTTCATTTCACCGAATAAAAATAGTTCCTTACTGGGATTTAGCTGCTATAACTCACAATGTTCTTCAGGCCTACCAAAACATTGTTGAATTAATAAGAGACTGTTGATTTTCATATGCAAATTTTCGTCATGAACAATATATCTTGAACGAATGAATTGGAATATAACTCATTCGTATAAATTGAAATTCCTGAGAGTTTATTCAAAATTTTTCTTTACAATGCATTGGTGGACGATCGCAACTTTGTGTACGCTTTTCATATGAACATCTTTATTTTTTATAAAAAGATACAAAATAATCGATTTTTTATGATTTCATTGTAATTGATTAGCTGTAAGTTTTATTTCCTTGAAAATACTTGAAACAATATGAGATTTCAGAATCGTTTCGTTTGCATTTGTTTTAATACTCATCAAAGATTCATTTCTCAAATCAAAGTTATGCTCACTCTCAAGTTTCATTTCACAGATCTCCCCAGTGACACTTCATTTACTTCCGACCATTGAATGTGTTACTCATTTCTTTCACTTCGATT